TCCAACTAATGCCAACCCTACTGTGAATCCTGTATGAGGTTTTCTTGGCAAGATTTGTTCAGTGGGGACTTGCCTTTGCTTTCCTCTGAAGGTCCAAGATCACTCAGTGGGTCTCCATGGAGGAATGGGGATTTGGACCCTGGTCTCTTGGAGTCCTAGTCTAACAATCAAACCACTAGACCACACTAGCTCTCTACAAGTCAAGGTCTACAACAAAGAAAATGAAGTACTGACTGCAAGCACAGAGTCATGAAAAATAGGATTGTTGACTTTTCTTTCAACCACTGACAATGTACCTTCATGAGCACATTTCAACCCCCCACGTTGTGAAAAGCTTCCTGCTCTGGATTTCCTTTTACACACTTTGTTGTTGTTGTTCTGTGCCTTCAAGTTGTTTCTGACCTCTGACAATTCTAAGGTGAACCTATTGTAGAGTTTTCTTGGTAATTTTCTTCAGAGGGAAGTTGCTGTTGCCAGCAGAGAGAGTGTAGTCATAGGCTTTCATGGCCAGCATCCATAGTTGTTTGTGGGTTTTTTGAGCTGTGGGGCCATGTTCTAGAAGAGTTTCTTTCTGACGATTTGCCAGCATCTGTGGCTGGCATCTCAAAAATGCCAGCCACAGATGCTGGTGAAACATCAGAAAGAAACTCTTCTAGAACATGGCCACACAGCCCGAAAAACCCACAAAAAACTATAAGAACATGTAACTTGTCCAAGGCCACCCAATAAGTTTCCATGGCTGAGCAGGATTTGAACTGTGGTCTCCCAGTGTCCTAGTCCAATGCTCAAACTATTACACTTCATTGGTCCTCTTGACACACCTAGCTGCTGTTGAATAACACTTACAAGATTGGGCTCAAACCACCAGTTCAGAAAATAGCCTGATTTGTATTGTATCCATTCAGTGTCTTTCCAGGTCAGCTTGGGTCCAAGTCAGTCTTTGATCTTGAATAACTAATAACGTTTATTCATTATTTTCCTTGCTGAGAGGGGATGCTTCGACAGATATTTTGAAGGATCTTTGTCCATGTTTCAGGTCAATTTTCTAAATTTTTTCACAGATCCCTCCGTAAGGGGAAATAAAATGTTAATAACCAACATAATGCATTGTCTCCCATTGTGATGGTAAGGGTAATGAGGTATTCATGTGTGTAGATATATGTATATGTGTGTACTTGTAACAAGTCAAACAATTAATTTATTTTGAAATATAACTTTCTAAGACTGACATCCCACTGGTTTTGCTTTCATGTCTGCCTTAATGCTCCATACACTCTGGTCTGTAACCTTCTGGAAATTGGATTTCAAGATCCTTAAATTAAACTGGTTACAGACTACCACTGATATAGGCAGTGAAGGCTGTGGATTGGTGAATCCATGCCAGGTTTCAGTCCAATATTGAAACTATCCAATGTGCTGAAACTAAGGACAAGAGGCTTCCTTGCTGATGAAATCATCCTCTGTAGTCTCCTTCTATGACTTTATGCTTAACACACACACACAAACACACATACACACAGTTGTGGACTTCCATGTCGTAAGACAGAGAATCCCCTCCAGCTTTTAGATCATGGAGGAGCTACCCAAGGTATCAAAGATGATCCCCTTAAATAGTTTCAGCACCATGGATAGTTCCTTTAAATTTCAAACTAAGACCTGGAGCAGATTCACTGCCCTGCTGACCTGGGAACCACTAAATTTAAATGCATATCTTGGGAGAGAATGGGGGCTCCATGCCTGCAAATATATTTTTCTATTGCTCTACAGTGAATCATTTCTGCCATGTAGACCAAGTGTGTACGCTTGGACTGCAGCCTACCAATTTTACAGCTATTTTAAGAGCAAATTGGCATTTTTCCGGTGTATATATAGTCCAATGTTTTCTGAGTAGCTTACACGATGGGTGTCATTTTATGAAGCTGGCTTTCTCATTCTTGGCTACTCATCTTAAGGCACTGAGCTGCTTTGTACACTCTTTAATGTTTCCATTTATATTCTGAACAAAGATCCTAGACTTATCCCATCATCAGAAATTCTTCACCACTTGATACCATTTTTTTCACTGTTTCCATCAGGTAGGATTATTATTTTGGTAGAGTAAGAGGAGTTTTTCTTATTTCTCTCCCTACCCCCACTAAATCTTCCCTTCTTTTTTGCTATGTATGTTTGGAAATAGCAAATTCTGTCTATAAAAGAGGTGGGGTGGGAATAAAAAAAAACATGGGAGAGTGAATGAATGAATGGTTTTAAAACAGTGCCCCTGGGGTCTTTGGATATAATGAAGCTGGGTCTTTATTAAGGAAACCTCTCTTGGGTTTAGCTATTAATCAAATTCCTATTAATGGGAAGGGGTTATTAATGGAATGGAAGGGAGACTGGTAAGGTAGAGGGAAAAGAAAACAATCAGGAACCATTTTGAGAATCTATCTAGGATCTCATGAATCCCATGGTCAACCCTATTATTAAATGAGGCAGAAACTTGAGAGCATCCAATGGAATTCATAGCAGAATTTGGAGACAGTTCTCAAGTTGTTGAAAAGATGCTTGTTTTATTAATAAAGCAACCTCCTCCCACTCTTATAAAACCTTTCAAAGTTTTCTGCTGGTCTCTCCTTGAAGACAATGGCAAACCTCCTCTAAGCAAATCTTTCCAAGGAAACCCCATGATAGGTTTGTTTTAGAGTCACCATACATGGAAGTGACTTGAAGACCCCCCCCCCCCATACACACACACTTTCCCTATGGACAAAAATACATCTGTGAGTCCTTTAGCTTTTGTTCTCAGGTTTTCACTTGTCTACTAAATGATTTCAGAGTTCCTGGTCCAGAAATACCTGGACTTTGATTCTAAATAGTTATATACAACTCAATCAAGACTCAAACAGGAGACTCACAGCCCTGAGTTTGAAAGACCCAAACAGGGCTATTGATAGAAGGGTGACTTGGAAATCGCTCATTCATAGGGTCATTGTAAGTCGAAGCTGACTTGACAGCAGTTAACAACAGCAAAGTTATGTACTAGCCATAGGCAATATACTAATGTAATTATGTTTTTATGTAATGTGAGATTAGGTATTTATGTGCTGTCTGTTATTTTATGTAGCTCCTGAAAAAAGTCTTAGGGTATAAAGAAACTTGTAGAGAGCTAGGTATAAATGCAACAGTTTTTTTTTTTAAAAAAAAAACTAATAGAACAACCAACTTTCAAGTCTCTTGATATGTGTCTTCAGTTTTTGCTCTGCAATCTTACTATGAGGCAGAGTGAGCCAAATTGCCTTAGGTAACAGATACTGGATGTCATGAAAAGGCAAGGTGCTGAACAAATTATTAAATGCAAGCAAATTATGTTATACATTATGCTCAATAAATATGAATATTAGGCAATGCATAAGACAGGAAAGCTATCTGTTGCCAAAGCCTGGGCAAATTGTTAACAAAGCATACTAGAAAGGTAGGGATGCTGATGGTGGCCTGAAACCTTTGTCCATCTTGGAAAAAGCCAAGCATATTCTAAATTTCAAACTGGAAATTGCTTTATTCCCCCCTCCTGCTGACAAAGAAATAGTTGCATTAATGAAAGCAATCAGGGCTTAATTGTTCTGTTTACCTCCACTGAATGGAGACCTGCCGAACTGGCTCAGACAGGTACACACCACATTGTGAGGTTGCCTGCAGCCTTCAGAGAGGTTGGCCAACACATCTGGATATAGAAGAGGGTAAATATCTATACTTGACTGGAGTTTGGTGTACCCTACTCCAATGTCTTTGTATGCCCAGACCACCTAAGAGTCATTATGAGTACCTAAAGGTGAACGTTCACCTCTGCCCTTTTGCATGCACACATTGTTGGTTTTATTAGAACAACATTGTGGCCACGCTTGGCCCCACTCAGAGATGTTCCCTTCACTTTTAGGAGACCATCCCCCAAATTAGGAAGAGGCTAAAGGACAGACCCACAGAGAGAATCTCTCTCTTTTTGGCATGTGTCCCTCTTTGACTTGCTTCCCTCTCTCTGAAGCATACATCCCTGCCTCTGTCTCCAGTCATCATCTTTATGTTAGAGAGCAAGAAAGTCCATGAGTGTGTTTTAGCCTGTAGTGCTTTAAGCTTAGCTCAACACCCCCCCCCCTTTAAATTGGTTAGGAAAAGGGGTTTTAGCTTCCATGCTGTCTTTCCCCTCTTTTACTTTTAGAAACAGCTTGCGTTGAGTATAGGATATTCTGTTGGTTTCTGCTGTTATCTTTTTATGTCTTTTTATTAAAGAAATAGTTGTTTTTGCTACAAAATCAGCTCATCCTTCTACCTCATTTTTACTTGAAGTTACTCTGGTTAATTGTCTGTTCTTAAAACCTTTACCTTGGAAGGTCCTGTTGAGAGTTAGTGCCTGGATGAGCTTTATCACCAGAGTAGTAAAACCAGTGCACTGCTCTTAATGATTATTAGTTTTTAAGCTTCTTCTTCATCATCTTTTTCTTCCAGGGATAGAAGAGGCACTTCTGGGATATTCTGCGTCATATGCCAAAATAACTTGGCTGGCTATGGGTATGATTTTGTGGTTGGGTGGGGCCATTTTCTACACTTCCTCACCATCTTTGGCTGATCATTTGACAAGAGAGGGCCACAACTTTCCTTCCTTTGTATGCCAGCATCTTGATGGCTGGCCTGGAACAACAGTTTCTTAACTCCTGCACAGAAAAACTTCCTTGTCTACCTGATGTCCATCAATGATATCTTTATCATTTGAACTAATGGAAAGGAATCTCTCAAGAAATTCTATCTGAATTTCATCGACTTCTACCCTACTATCAATCTTAATCTGGAACTATTCTCATGAGAAGTTAACATTCTGGACACTGTTTGTATATTTGTGTACTCATCTTGGTTCCCTCCTTTGTCCCATAACTACTCTTTTCAACCATCATTGGAACTGAACTTGTCATCCCATCATCATTCCAATATGGCTTGCATTTCTATGTCTATTTTGCCTTACTATTCAGGAAGCCAGTGTGGTATAGTGGTTTGAGAGTTAGACTAAGATTCTGGAGATCAGGGTTCAAATTCCTACTTGGCCATGGAAACTAACTGTGGGACCTTGGAAAGTCACAATCTCTCAGCCTCAGAGGAAGGCCAGGCCAAACCAGCTCTGAACAAATTCTGCCATGAAAATCTTGTGATATGTTTGCTTAGGGTCACCACATGCCAGAAATTATTTGTCTCTTCACAGGTGTCTCAGTTCATGCCTCTGATGAAGTAGACTGATTCTGTGGAAATGTATGCAACAAACTTATTTCTCTTAATTAGTCTCAAAGGTACTACAAGATGCCCTAATATTCCTCTGTGTGCTATGTTTCATATTTGGATAACCCCCTCCTCCTGGTCTGAATATTTCTCCTGACCTTTCTTTGGTTTTCCTTTCCAAGTCCCCAAATATTTTTGATCTATCTTTGCATGAGTGCAAAGGAAGCCTCAATATAGTTTCTTCTTACTATTTTTCATTGCCAAGAGTCTCTACACCAGAATAGCCACTGACAGTTCATAAGCCACATGTTAAAGCAGGAAGATATTTTTGGTTCTTCAACATTATAATTTGTTGCAACTTGTAAATTGACTTGGAATGTTTCCTTTCCCCTTCAGTGGGTTTGCCTGAAGACCAGATGTGAAATCTGGCATGGTGGGTGACTCTTGGATGCGATCCAGAACATGACATCCTTGGTCTTGTGTCTGGGCTAACGGATGACCCCATTTGGTAAAACAAATTAGATATGAGCATATTTTCACTTGGAACTGACTTAAAGCTGGATTAACACTTATGACCACTATTACAACCAAAGCAAACCTACGTCTGGGAGCTGTAGTTTTTGTCAGAATATTTCAAATAATTTGTTAAGAATCCTCCCAAAGGATTCATAAGCCATGATAGTCTGAAACAAACAACCCACCCATCCAATGCTAATTTACACTTTACCACCAGCTTTGGAAGTCTATTGCCAAGTGGGAAAGTGGGATATAGATATTTAAATATATCAATCTACCACCAAATCCTATTCTACTGCCCCACTGTGATGTAGAGGTAGTCCTGGGCCCTTGAAGACTATGCCAGTGGACTCCATAGTCTGGTAGGTTCTACCAAGCTAGCAAAACTTCAAGTACAGCCCTGAGAATGGAGGAAATGTCAGCAACCAAAGACCAGCTACTAAACATGGAGACAATCATCACAAGAAAGTTAGTCACAGGAACTATGAGCTCAATGATGCTGTGAAACAGTTGCAACCTGCACTGGACTATCAGCAGTGATGAAACTAAGCAAATTCAATTCAAAGACATAGCCATGTTAATATGGGATATCAGTATGCAAAGGGACCTTGTAGCACCTTTCGTGACTATATATGAAAGCTTATGCTACAACATTACTCGCTCAGTTAGTCTCAAAGGTAATACAAGATCCTTTTGCATACTAAGTAAATTCAAGGTATTCAAGATGAATGCAAAAATATATAGTCTCTTGATAAAAGCACAGTTCCCATAGCTGCTTTACTAGAAACAATGTCATCCAAAGAGGTCCAAAATTGGTTTAAGTGTATAATGTACGCACATCTTCATTAAATCACCAGACCATATCACTATCACCATCATGTCTCTTTAAAAACACCACACTCCCTTTTTATTCTTAGTGAAACCATTCCGCTTCCTATTTCCTCCTAAAGCAAACCGCAGTTTCTTTTAAAAAAAAATCACCTCTAGTCTAGCCTCAACATTGACTTTGCTCCTTCTTGACCTTTGTATGTGATGATGATGTGTGTAAACCAATATATCCAGTCATCAGGCCTATGCCTATTCTTTGATGGAGCAGAAGAGTTTACAACAATAAGAATAGCTTCTATTTCTGGTGGGACAATAATCTGGGTTGGAATCTTGGAGATTATCGCATTACCTTTGCTCCTAGAGGCAGCATGTAACTTTAAGAAGATGGATCTTATCACATTCACCTGTCTCCAGGCAGCCCATTTGCAACCCGGACTTCTGCCGCAGCTTTTCAATAATGGGAAAATCCTATTCATGAAAAGATGTGAGACAAGCCTAGGGCAACCCAAATGGGCTTCCTGCTGCCTGGTGACAGATGAATGTGATAAGATCCACTTTCTAAAAGTTACATCCTGTGTCTATGCCAGGAGCAAAGGTAATGCGATAATTTCCTTTGACGTTCAGATGCATTTTGAACACACCTGATTAAGTTTTATGGGGGGCTGACAAAAAATCCACTTACCCCAAGATAAACAATATCAGGTTTCCCCTGAGTTTTTTTCCCAAAGACTCACATCATTGGCAGTGAGAATAACCAATGCAAATAGACCCAGAATAAATCGGGATAAAATTGCGTGCCTTGAATGTGTTTCAAATACATCGACTCCATCTTTATTTGAGGGCTGCCACGTGTGAGCAACCAACATCCCAGAGATGTGCATAGATGCAATTCCATAGTGTAAACAACAACCCCAGAATGTGTGAGTGAGAATAGAATCATAGAATCATAGAGTTGGAAGAGACCACAAGGGCCATCCAGTCCAACCCCCTGCCATGCAGGAACTCCCAATCAAAGCATCCCTGACAGAATATTCGCATCATAGAATCATAGATCATCACGCTTAAAACAGGATGTCTGAATGACCCCAAGGAGTTGTGCCAGAGGCTTTGCTTCTGGCTTTTGCACCATAGTTTGTTGGAGTGGGTACTGGAAACTTCATCCTGCTGCATCCCAATGAGCAGCAGAACAGATCATCATTCAATGTGACTGCTGGTTTGTAAGGTAGGTCAGCCAAGGTGGGGCATTTGCCATGATTGACAATAAACCCATGATTGTACACCTAAATACCAAACAGTTTCAGTTGAACAAATCTAACATATACACTTTTGTTCATTGCTCAACAGGATATTAGTTATTTTTATTTAATTTTGTTGTTTCACACTTAATTTTGTTTTTGTTTTTTTACACCTTGATCTTAGAATGGTTTTCCCTATAAGGGCAAGAAGTGTGTGTGTACTTTCAAGTCATTTGTTGTTTTATGAATTTCTCAGGGCTTTTCTTAGGCAAGGAATACTCAGAGGTGTTTTTGCCCATTCCTTCTTCAGAAATACAGCCTACAGCACTATACACACATACACACACATGCACACTCAACAGATAAATAATAGCATTGTGGCATAAGATTTGTGGAAAAAATGGTGATGGGATTTCCTTGTAAATACATCCAGAAACATGGCAAACAGTGTTTCCAAATACTGAAAGGAAAAACAGATGTTCACACTTTGCCAAATGCTATCCAGTTCCTGAGGGCACTCTGTGAATTTGAAATAAATGTTTGCATTAATTTAGGGAATTAGGTTCTTTCCAACGGGGCTTTCCTTTCCTTCCTTCATCCTTGCTGCCATCATCCTGTCGATGGACAAACAGCTCAGTGCTTTCCTTCGCCTCAACTGGAAGGGTAACAAAGTCCTTCCAGACCAAAGAAAACAAGTCAGGGCACAAATCCAGCTAGCAGGAAATGTTCTTCTGAAGAAGCTTTCTGGTGTGAATGAACACTTTTGACAAAACAAGATCTGGAAGGATGAATAAGAAAAGGATGAGTCTGATAAATTGAGAAGCTACACTTTGTACAGGAAGCTAGACCCCACAGAGAGCCTTCCAAAGATTCCTGGCTGATCTGAAGTAGTGGAAACAAAACACCCCACTTGTTTCAAGGAAGCTGAATTCAGAAAAGCTTAATGCAAATAAATAGATAAAGCAAGCAATTTAGTTGGCTCTGCAAACTGGAAGGGTCATGTTTGCCTATTGTATGAGCCAGTAAAAGATTGTTTGAGTAAGTACACCAGCTAGTAAGTGCAGAGTTGAAAAACTCTGATCATCTCAGATTGTGGCCATTCATAAATACAGTCACCACTCTGTTTTCACATCTCTTGCCCATTTGCAGGCGGCAAATGGAGGGGCATAAAATGGAGTGCGTGCCCCCGCACGCCTTTTCAATGGGGCTCAAATATTTGTGAGCCGCCATTTTCACAAGGGGGTCCAGAACAAATTCCCCATGAACTGGGAGGGTAGGATTTTACAGAGTAAAGTTCTGGGTTCTATGGGGTCAACTATAATAGAATATTGCAAACACAAACACAATTTAAGTCTCTCTCTCTTAACAACAATACAAAAATTATTTTACTTTATTTTCAAGCATCCAGTAAGGGGCCAGTGCAGGACTAGATTGCAAGACTCTTGTGCCTCTGTTTCTCAATTGTATTGCAGCATTTAGATGCACATCTTAAAGTCCTAAATAAAAAAGTACAAAATGCAAGTAAATGCAATATAGAAATTACACTACAAAGAAGTTAACCCTTTATTCACTCCTAAATTGTTCCTGTTGTATGCCTTCAAGTCACTTCTGCCTTATGGCAACCTTACAACAAACCTACCATAGGGTTTTCTTGACAAGATTTGCTCAGAGGGGATTGCCTTTGCCTTCCTCTGAGGCTAAGAATGTATGATGTGCCCAAGATCACCCAGTAGGTTTCCATGGCTGAGTGGGGATTCAAGTCTGACATTCAAACTACTACACCACATGGTAACAACTGAAAATACCACTATCTTAATGAAAGTGAAAAGGGCCTATTCCTTAGTTTTGGTGGCAATTGCAGCTCCTTTCCAGCTTTTCATCTCTTTCTGAACTCAGTTAGTAAGTGCAGCTCCTACCTTAAGGATTCCCCACTCAGCCAAACCAATTACTCATAGAGGTTACAAAATTATGGTGAACCATAACTCATGAACCACATGGCATCATCGTGAAGCTCATAGGAGCAAGAAACAATTATTTGTGCCTTCACTCTGTCTTCATGAAGAAGCTGAACTTGCACTAAAAGAAAAAAAAATGGCACACACGAGGTAACAGATAGTAGACTTTGCTACCAAGTCTTCTCCTAAGTGTGTGCAGACTTCCATTATACATGTGTACATGCACAAGCACCTCCCCAGCAAATATTAGGATCTTTTGCAGAGGTGTGATGTACGCATGAGCCTTCAGCAATGAATGGT